GGATCCAGAAAACTCAGGTATTTTCCAAGAAATTTTATTTTTTCAGTTGATTCTGTTCTCCCATAATGTCGGGAAATTTATTTCGTCAAAATGACAATCTGCGAATCGTGCAGTAAATAGATCACCCGTCACTGGTTTGAGATATTTAATTATATGGTGATTCGTAGCCAACATAAATTCCCAAACGATGTTTGGGGCCCATTTTTGTACGTGAGGTAGTGCAATCAGTATGTAAACCGCGCATCCATAAATCTTCAGGTGAGAAATATTGGGCTTTTTCCCAAACACTAATTATGTTGAGGAGTATTTCTGGTAACTTCTTGGTCTAATTCACACAAGTTTTGTGGCATGTAATATTGCATGTAATATTGCATGTCCCCAGACATAAACGGGAAGTTTGAATTTCATTAGTAATAGTATAGAAATTAATTGCAGTCTTTTAATAAAGAATTCTGCCAGACAATTTTGGGTTTGAACATAAAGAATAAGATGCTCATTAGTTATTCCCAAAGTAACACAATAATCGTTAAATGCGTGAGATGAATATTTACTAGCATTATTGAGACGAATTTTCTTTGTTGGTTAATCAGGAATTGTGCTCACAATTTAATTTTTTGTACAAGTAACCTTGCAAACACTATATTATGCATATATACCAAACATATGTATGACCATCTCGTTGATGCATCAATGAGCACCATAAAATATTTAAATGACCCACATGGTGGATTTACAGGTCCACATATATCATCCTGAATTCTTTCCAGAAATAATGGGGATTCAGTCCCAACTTTGGTTGGTGACGGCTTGATTATCAATTTGCCTTGTGAGCATACAACACACGTGAATTCATTCGAATTCAAGATCTTTCGATCTTTCAGTGAATGACCAATAGAGTTTTTGATTATTCGCCTCATTATGGTATTTCAAGGATGCCCTAGGTGATTGTGTCAAATAAAAAAACATTTATTTGCGTAGACTTCAGATCTACGGCATATGTTTCAACGACACTTATTTTGGCATAATACAAGCTAGAAGACAATGAAGGTAATTTTGCAATTGCACACTTATTTTCATTGATAATTTTTGTAATTACCAAATATGTATTATTTTTCTCGTTCATTGTTTCAATATGATAATCTATTTCTACGAATATAAGTGAAACTCAGCAAATTTCTTCGAGCTTTGCTCAAGAACAATACATTTTGTATTTCAAGTTTGATTTCTTTGGGAAAACAGATAAGGGCTCTTCCGGAGTCTTCAAATGTCGCACTACCACTTATTGTGCGAACTTTTGATTTTTCCAACTTCAAGTGGAAGAAATACTTTTTGTATTTAAATATCGTGTGCATGGTCGCATTATCAATTAGACAAATGTTGTCCTCTTTATAATATGTATTCTGACACATATCATCCATATTATTTTAGAATAAAACAAACAAAAAGAAAATATATTAATATAGTTGATGAAATACAAAATGATACAAAAAGAAGGGTATTATAAAAAGTAGATAGAGTACAAAAAATAATAAAACAGTAAACTACATAATCAATTGGCACCTTTAGGGTGCTCAAGGAAGTCTGTTGTATTAAGAAGTATAAAATTGTTGTTTAGGACATCATCATATGTGTCATCATTATTCTGTTCAACGAGATTTACGTCAGAAGATGTGCTTTTCAAGACATCATTATATGTGTCATCAATATTCTGTTCAACGATATTTACGTCAGCAGATGTGTTTTTCAGGACATCATCATATGTGTCATCATTATTCTGTTTAGAGAGATTTACGTCATCAGACGTACTTTTTCCTTTCAGCGGGACCCGGTACAAATCAACCAAGTGTATAGGCATTCTGCAGACGCGCGACCATTGTCCATTTGTGCCGTACCTGTGACACTTATCATCATAATTTCTTTTCTTCTCATCGTTCTGCCACTTCAGGGGATTGTACGTTTTATTGTCATTATTTCAACGAGGTTGGGGACGGTCGCATCTTTGGCCTCTGTCATATTTCCGATCTTTGTTGTTTTCATGGCCTGGATTTGCAGACTGTACTGCATTCGCTTCAGGGTATGGGTTGAAACCTGTTGGCCTGGATGCATGATTTTTCAACAATAGTTGGTATTTTGTTTTGCCAACAAAAGATAAACAATAAGATCTGAATATGTTTTGAAGCCTCTCTCTCGATACTGTTGCTTTAAAAGCAAGTTTGAGGCGTGGAATGTGGAGAATATTTTCTTTATCATGTCACCACCATTAATATTCTTGCCGCATATTCAACTGCAAAGTGATCCTGAATATAGTGGAATTATATTGAGTAACTGATTGGAAGTCTTGCAACCTTATATTATGTCATTCGCTGTGGGCTTTTGGCGTGATTGTATCTTTCTTTTCGTTTATTCCGCAAGTCAAGAGGATTTTTGACTGTGAGATATTCCATCTTCAGGCCATCATCGATATGATGTCAGAGGAATATCATTGCCTTTACTTAGCTTTGATTGGTGGCATTATTGCCTCTTATAATCGTTTCACCAAAACCCATCGATTCCAAATGCATTTCAACATCCATAGCCCACGTCAGTTAATTTTTTGCCAGAAATGGCAAGTGAAAGAAATTTTTGTTTTGCAATATTAGTAGTCATAATAATATTGAGATATACCTACTGTGTTGAAAAAACTAATTGTGCTGATAATGTGTTGTAAATATTAATATAGGAATAACAAATTGTGTATATGCATATATATATATATCCGTATATGATAAAATATATGTTATACTATACAATATATTAATATATATAATATATAGGTATATATGTAATATATTTATATATATGAATAAATAAGTTGATATATTAAAGAGAGAGAGAGAGACGAGATACAAAGAGAGAGGAAAAGATTACTTTTTTTTATATTTCACAATTTATGCTTATTTATAGATAAATGAATTCTCTAAGGCCCGTTTTTTTGTTTCTTCGCCGTGGTCGTCGGTTTGGTTACAGGTAGTTTTTGAATTAAAAGTTGAATTAGAATTCATTTATTAAGAATAAAATTTTATATAGGACCACTAAATAGAAAATATAAATATTTATTTATAAATAATGTTCCTCCGTCCACTAAAATTAGCATAATTTGGTCCGACACGGAGATTAAGAAAAATAAATATTTTATTGAAAAAGTGAGAGATAATTGAGGGTGTTTTTGGAAATTTAGTTAGAAATTAGAGTAAATGAAGAGAGATAATGTAATAAAGTTAGGGGTATTTGTTGTAAATAAGTGTTGAATAGAGGGTAATAATTAAATGTTGATTTGTTGATTTTGCCAAAATTAGTAATGAAATAAATTTAACGGACATGCTAAAAAGAAAAATAGGAATAAATTTGACGGACGGATGGAGTATAAATTAACTTTATTAATCAATGTGAGATTTTAAATATATACATAAATATATTTTTTATATTTATTTATTTATAATTAATATAAATTAATCTTATAAAAAAGTAAAAATTTAAATATAAATAAAAATATTTTTTTTAAGAGAGATAAGTAAAAAGATTTTTGATTAAATTTTATATGAGATGAATAATATTATATGCTATATAGTTAATTAAATTTATTTATATTTATTAATTATATTTTGATTTAATAAATAAAATTTTAAAAACAATAAAAATAAATTTTTATAAAATATGTAAAGAAATATAAAATATATCAATTAAAATGAATATATACATGTGTGTAAATATATATATATATATATATAATGTCAACTCTACGTTAACCAAATGCATCCTTTAGGGGTTGCTTGGTTCATGCATTTTTTTGATGGGATTGATATTTTACAATAGAATTTATATGTGATTAGATTTATTATATTTAGGATTTGGACTCCTATGTTGCTAAAATGATATAGATTTATATTTCTCGCATCTGTTTGTTTTTCATATGAGCTGAATGATTTAGAATTTTTATATTTTAAATGACATAATTGTCCTTCTATAAATTTTATTTATTTTGATAAATTAAGCCAATAGTTTTGTAGGATGATAATAGGTTCGCGTAAACTCGAGACCTGACTGTGCCAGACATATTTATTTGAAGTTGAGTCCAATTATTTGAGTATTGGGTCTGAGTCATGTTCGAAGTAATATAATAATAATATATCAACTAACATATAAAAAAATAATTTCTAACAATATAATTATATTAAAATATTTTTGAGTTTAACTTATTCATTATATTATTATAATATTTTTTTAATAAAATAAATAAAATTTAATATATGTTGGGTCCAATACATGTGCAATTTTAAATTAAAATTTAAAATGGTAAAAGAAAAATAGATTTTTCCGAATCCATCCAGTCTTAGCGGCGGGTATAGTTTCGGTCAGATCCGGTATAACCAGATCCAATTTGAGTTCGGATCTAACAATATATATTCGGAACGAATATCAGTTTCAAGTGAACTCGACTAATTGTCATCCCTATAATTTTATGATTTAAATAAAACTTATAATAAATAATAATTTTAAGAAATGAATTTATTAATTTATTAAAAAAATATTATACCATAAAAAATAATATAAATAATTAATTATATAATTTAAATAATAATTAATTTTAAAATTATTTAATTTTTATTTTATATGAATATAAGATTATTTTTTTTTTATAAAAGGATATAAAAGTAAAAATTAAAATTTAATTTAAAAGTAACGGGTTATCCCTATTAAAAAAATTTTCTATTTGTAGAATTTTGGATTAATTTTTTAAATCCGATCATTGTAAATTCTTTTTTTTTTTTTTATTAGCCAATGAATTTGACGATATTTTAAAATTCAAATTCCATTGAATTTTAATTTTAATTTGGCGGAGCAGGGTTGAGGGCTGTTTTCGGTATTTCCTGTGGCGAAAGAAGGAAATAAAAAAAAAAAAAAAAAAGAAAAAAAAAGACAAAAACTGAAATGATTTATGGCAGTGTAATGCACAAAAATTGTTTACGCTTGGAATGTGAAGAGCGACTCTTCAATCCTACCAAAGTCGTGAAAAGGATGAACAGTTGGAATCATTTGAAGCCCCTGAAAATATGTTCTGAATGAAACCCTAGTCTTCGACGGATATTCATACGGTAAGCCATTGATAAATAGGCAAAGGTAGTCGTTGAATTTCTGGTTCTTTTTTCACCTCTTGTAATTATGTGTTAATGTCATGGTTATTTAGTGTTTGAAATTTATTCTTGGTAGTCAGACTTGATGCAACGGGATGTGCGTTGAGTGCTCGTTCAATTTTGAAATTAATAGCAGAATAGTGTGGCTTGCAAAGAATTTGGTCTGTTATCCGATCTGCGGAGAATCAAAGTTTTGGGAATTAGTATGTGATTTGAATTAGTTTATGTTTGGTAATAGAAGGTTCTTAAAACATTTTCGATTTTAGTTTCTTAGGGTTCATTCTTGTTTTTGCTTATAACGCTTGGACAGAGATTGTATTTGAATACTTTAATTCAGGTTTACTTCCTGCAATTGATTTATTTATATATATATATATATATATATATACACTTGTGATTTTGAAGATTTTAGATTGTGTGATAAAGTGCTATTCTGTTGCAGGAATAAGAAACTGAGTTGTGAAAATGTTGAAAGGAAGGAGAGTTGGGGGAAGGGGAGATACTGTAGCTGCTCAGTATGCTTTCGGACCACTCGAGGATGATATAATAATCAAGCACCGGCTTCTAACCCGGACAACAACGACAAGAGGCGAACCACCTTTGAAGAAACTTCAGAAGAAGTTTACAGCATTTACAGTGGAACTAGAGAAAGAGGCTGATAATTACAGTGACTGCGAAAGGCTCGCCAAAGCATTCTTGCAGGAGCTGAATACTTTCGAAATTCCATTGCTTAAGAGTAAAGCTGTTATAGATGCAAATATTAGAGAGAAGGAGAACTTCAACGAGCTGAAGGATGATATAAGCAAGCAAATTATACAGGCGCAGAACGATATAGAGGACCTGAAGAAACAGCTGGAAGAGAGCAAAATTGAGAGGCAGCACAAAGAGGAGTGTGAAGCTATTAGGAAATTGATTGCTATGCAGCCGCCCAGATCGGAGACGCAGAAAGCCATCACGGAGCTGGAGAAAGAAATCGCAATGTTGGAAGCGGAAAATACTGCTGGATCGAGAACACTGGAGCTTCGCAAAAAGCAATTTTCGCTTCTTTTGCATGTGGTGCGTGATCTTATTTGCTGGCTCAAGATTTTATACTTTGAATGATTTGTTTCTCTCTCGTTCGTATGCTTTTGCTTGGAGTTGACTTTGAGTGATGTCGGTTATTTTACTTGATGTTTCTTGATTCATTTATTACAGGTTGACGAGCTACAGAACACCATCGAGGAAGAGCAGAAGAGTTTGATGGAGGAAATGAGAGCAGCAACAGACGAAAATAGAACTGGGATAGAGGATGCAACTGGAGTCCCTGAAGCCATGGTTCTTGATTAGAAGTTAAATAGCATCCCATTCGGTAACTTGATGGCTTATAACAATTTTTATTTTCTTTTATTGTTTTTCCCCAGCATTTTTGTGTTGTACGGATGTGTATTTATTATTAGATATGCTAAGTGATTCTTGAGACCATGACGCTACCTCACAATTACTGTTTATTTTCTGGTATATTAAGGAAGATGAGCTTAATACCTTACCAGTTCTTATAGTATCGTTTTTCTTCATTCTTAGACTTATTCGTGCAGTTACACTTGATTTAACTTGGTTTAATTCTACTAGGGATCGCTTGTGGCTTGTAAGTTTTAACCTGCAATTATGGGGCCATGAAATGCCTTGAGAATCAAGATTTCTGTTTTTGTAACCTTCCTTTGTCAGAACAGATGCCCAGTTTCTATATATCCTTTTGATGGCTGAATTTATTAGAATCTTGATCCACATTAGTGGTATTGTGAATTTACTAGTTTATACTGCGATCTCCATTCTTGCTTGAAACATTTAGCCATATAATTAGTGCATTATAATGCTTCCGTAAAATCCGATTCAACTTTGCTACTCCAGCATCGGGCTATTGAGAGTTATTTAAGATCACTGTAATTATCATTTACCTTGGTGGTGTCATTATGGATGTGTTTTTACTTAATGTTCCAACATTGTTTTGTTATAGCAGATACTTTTCTAGTTGCAGTTTCAAGAACAAAAGAGAGCCCTCCTCTTGTGACTCTCCTCTTTGCTGCCTTTTAGCCGTCAAGGGTGGACATTTATAAGTGTTGCTTCGTGTGTCTTTGCGCGAAGTCGGTAACGTTTCTTTTCTTTCTCCCCGAGAATCTGTTGTCCAGCTTAGTTCATGCTTATCCATCCCCCTAGCAAATGACATCTCATTACACAGAGTGTTCTGAAATTCAATTGACTATCAGACAGACCATTTATGAGATTTAAATCAAGAACTGATACACTTAGCCTGTGCATTTCAGTTGTGTTCATGCCCCTCTTTTATTTATTTATTTTCTCTTGGGGTTGTACCATTTAATGAATTCAGCCTCTCAAATGCATGTAGTTTCTCTCATCTTTCTTGTCCCATTGTTCCTGAAAGAATCAGCAAGACAAAAGACAGATGGATTATGGGGTCTGGATTTAGAATTTGGTATTTTTGTTTCTTTTACCTTTTTTTTTTATATATATATTTTTGATGACGTGGGAACCCGCAGCGATTACCCGAAATGGTAAATTCTCGGTCGAATTTAATACTCTGCAAACTAGATTGGAGAGGCAAGTCATATTAGACGAATCATGTGCGGTAGGTGAGCGGGGGGTTTGAACCCATGTATATTCCTTTTTTATTAACAAATGATGATAGACTGACCAGAAATTATATATAGGACTGGACACTACAGCCAATAAAATGCAACACACGTTTAAATTGTAGTCCTTCACGAGAAACCTACTACTCCAATCCAAACTCGGATTTGTATTTATTCATCCTTCAAACTTCCGATTTTAAATCTATCAAGTTTGTGAATATACATATACATCAATATTTTTGTTTCATTATTTAATTTCATTTAATAAAATTTTCAAAATATTTGTTTACATTCAAATACTCTCCTTTTTATTTGATATATTTTGCTATTTAAAACTATAATAAATCTCAGACATTTTGGGTCACCTGACACGCATAATTTGTCATAAGATTTGCTTGTCCGGCCTAGTTTGTAGGTATTAAAGATAAATATAATACAATTATATATGTATTTTTTTTTCTTAATCAACTTATAACAATAAATCTATATTGTAAATTGAAGAAATATCTATTATATTAAATAAAAATAAATAGCACGAAATGAAAAATGACATGTTAAATGAGACTGAAAGAATATAATTTTTATTTTTTTCTTCATGTCAAAATATAATTTTATGAGATGAAAAGTATATTTATTCATTTATTTATTTATTTATTTATAAACAATAGAGAATTAGAAGCACGAGGAGCAGTACCACTCTGACGACTCTTCTTCTTCTTCCCTTTCCTTCCTTGGTGTCACCAACAAGTAGGCCAATTAATTAATTAATACTGATTTCTTGGCTGCTGCTGCTGCCTACTACTACTATCAATCACACTTGACCTTCAATTTTCTCGTTCATTACTGGATTTCTGCAATGGCTGCCTCCCATTCCCTCTGCAGTCATCTAAGCTGCAATTCCTACATTTCAAACAACACCTACTTCAACCATGGCCGATTTGTCTCGCCCTCTTCCTTCAAGCCGCACGGACCATCGAAGAACAAATCACACTCTCGTCGAATCAGTTCGATTCGGGCCACGGCTTCCAATTCCAAAACCAGTAACCAGCAAGTGGAGGTATTAATTTAATTTTGTGCTGAAATTACTCATTTTCTCCGCATCTCGAATTTGCCGCCTGATTGATTCGAAATTATTGTGGGGATTAGATAGTGTACGACCTCGAAGAGAAGTTCAATAAATTAGCAGATGAAGTCGATAGGAACGCCGGGATGTCGAGACTCACTCTCTTTTCTCCTTGCAAGGTCAAATGAATCAAAATCTAATGTTTAGGTATCCATTATTCAATTAGGGTTTCGTTGTGACTGTTTCAGATTTCGTCGTGCAGATTAATGTGTTCTTGAGAATAACAGGCAAAAGAGCAGATGGATATCATGATTTGGCATCTCTGTTTCATGTGAGCAATTTTGGATTAGTTTTCTGCTTTCTGAGTTTGATCTGATAATGGTGATATGATTCAGGATGGTTGTTGTTCAGGTTATCAGTCTTGGAGATGAAATAAAGTTCTCATTGTCCCCATCGAAGTCGAAGGATCGTCTGTCGACAAACGTCCCCGGAATTCCCCTGGATGAGAGGAATTTGGTGAGCCCCGGCCCTTCTTCTTATTTTGGTCGGGTTTCTATTCGATGCTGACCCCTTAGTTTTGCTCTTTGTGCAGATAATCAAGGCTCTCAATCTGTTCAGGAAGAAGACAGGGATCGAAAACTACTTTTGGGTAATTGGATCAAAAACTCTGCCTTACATTTTGTTGGTTTTTTGGCGAAAGTAATATGTAGAATCGTTTGTGTTGTGTTTTCAGATCCATCTCGATAAGAAGGTGCCTACGGGAGCTGGACTTGGTGGCGGCAGCAGCAATGCTGCCACTGCTCTGTGGGCAGCAAATCAGTTTAGCGGTTTTGTTGCCACGGAAAAGGAGCTTCAAGAATGGTCTAGTGAGATTGGCTCGGACATTCCGTTCTTTTTCTCTCGTGGAGCTGCATATTGCACGGGAAGAGGCGAGGTTTGTCCTTACAGTAGGTTAATTTATTGTATCTGTGTTTACTTACTTAGGCTGAATGAAGTCGAAGGAATTCTTTATTGTAATTGAAGTGTGTGAATGGATTCTCTGCTTATTCAATCTAGGTAGTCGAAGATGTTGCCTCTCCTGGACATTTCGAAGTTCCTATGGTTCTTGTTAAACCGCCTGAGGCGTGCTCGACTGCAGAAGTTTACAAGGTACTCTGTAGAATAGGTTAGATCCATTGTGTATTGATTTAGCACTCTAAAATTGTATTCTGTTTTGGCATCTCAGCGCCTTCGGCTGGATCAAACAAGCCACATCGATCCTTCGGTATTGCTGGATAAGGTTTTGAGGGATGGGATTTCTCAGGACGTGTGTGTCAATGATCTTGGTATGATTTCTAAAGCTGTTTATATTTGTTGTGTTATTGTCTTAATTGTTCGAATCCACTTATGTATAAAAGAACAGAATCCGGCTGAGGATATGCATATTAGTTAAGATAACTATGATGACCATGGTTAAATAAAGTTTAAATCTTGTTGAAGATTTGTTAGTAGAGTTTGCATCTCGACGAATTTATTGCCTTTTGATGATGTTGGTGATATTCCAGAAACTCCGGCTTTTGACGTTCTTCCATCGTTGAAAAGATTGAAACAGCGCATAGCTGCTGCTGGTCGAGGACAGTACGATGCTGTTTTTATGTCTGGAAGGTGTGTGACGAAGATCTCTATTCATTCAGTTTTCCGAAAAATGCATAACATTTCCTGTATCGTCCAATTTTCAGACAAACAATATTTAAACGATTCCTTGCAACTGCAACAATTTTTATCAGAGTTTTGAATGTATTCTTATATTTTATGATACAGCGGGAGTACTATTGTCGGGGTGGGTTCTCCCGATCCACCTCAGTTTTTATTCGACGATGAAGAGTACAATGGTGTCTTCTTATCAGGTAAATCACTTATCAGCATTTCCTGGTGGTCGAATCTTTACTGGCGATGATAAGTTTGTTGGGAAAATGTCTATCATAAGAACTTGTGCTTTGATCGAGGAATTTGGATATTTTCTTTTCTAGGTATGCGATCATCCTTATAAGGAGCTCTTGCTCAAAACAAATTTAAGATACGACGTTGTTGTATATCAACTACGAAGCGCTATAGTTTAAGATAGTTTTTTAAATCATCTTCAAATTACTACACTTGGAGATTATTTTTGTAGTAAGTAGGTTGGTTGCTAGTAAGAAAATTCAAACCCGAATTTCTTAGGCTTGGTTTAGATATAGTTTTGGAGAATTGGCTAACTGTAAAAGATTAGTCTTTGATGCGATGTTTTGTGAGAATATATATATAACGGCATTGGAGATATGATCAGCATGCAACAAAAGTGATCTTTTTAGTGTGTATGTAAACAGAGCCATTAGATATGTTACATGGTTTGTCGGAATTATGACATACGTCTGTTGGTAATGCAGAAGCCAACTTCATTACCCGTTCGGAGAATCAATGGTACACGAGACCTGTCTCCGCCTATTCTGATGCGCCGGCAGAGTCCGATGAATAGTAAGTATGTGTTGAATGGCCTGTTTTGATGTTCTGTTCTGTTCTGTTCTATTGGAATGGACATGCGATGTTCAATGCCAGGACTTTTTATTTATTTTTTATTTTTAAGATAAATGGTCTATCTTTTAAATTTTCGTAATTGAAATTTTTTATTCGTAAGTGGAGGTTGTATTAAAATAGTTTCGTAAGTTAATTTTTTTTTTTTTTTGTACATTTAATCCTTCGGCGCCAGTGATGCCTACGTGGCATGCCAGAAGATTAGTGTTTGCCAAGTTAACGACACAGTGAGGGATACGTAAATAATAAGTGCGATTGAATGAGAAAAAACAAATAAATTGAAAAATAAGTAAGGATTGAATGAGAACTAAATGAAGTGTGTTTGTTTGGGGATTGGATTGGATTTACATTGTTTATTTAATTTTTTTTTTTTTAAAATATCAAATTAAATACTTATTTTTTATTTTTTATATTATACTAAAAATTAATTTTATATTCAAAATATTAAATCTAACACCTGTTTATATCAAATCATACAACTATTTAAATTCAAAATTTTTACTATTTAAATCTAACTCAAAATCGAAACCCGAACAAACAGACCCTTTGAAGACACCTCTAATCATTACACCCTTTTAAAGTAATAACCAAATCCTTGCATAGATTCTCATGCATGCACTGTTGCCAGTGTCACTCTCCTAAACCTAAAGTGCAGCAGCACATGACCTCGCGTGAATTAATTCAATTTATGGATAACAATAGAGTATGTTATATAACAACCCTTATATGTTTTAATAAAAATATACACAAAGTATTTTGTATTTTATTTATGATATGAAATTATTTTGTATTAACATAGAGTTTGCACAAAATATCTACCTAAATTATATAAGTTTATACAAATAAAAATTATAAAATAATTTTTTAATAAAATAAATAAATAAATAAATAATCAATTATTTATTTTATAAATTTTTAGAGACAAATTGTTATATGATGTTACAAAAATTGTAAAAAAAATGTCAACTTTTACATAACTCCCCAATTCTATATTCATATTCTTATTTACTCCATGTATATTAATTTTATTTTTTTTACTCCCTAAAAATAAATGTTTATCAATTATTTATTTATTTTATTCAAAAAAAATTATTTAAAATATTTTATATTTGTATAAAATTTGAGTAATTTAGATCTTTATTTAAAATTAAATTTCAATTTTAAATAATAAGAATATTTCATACAAATTTTACATTAGTTTAATTTAAAGCAATAAATAAAATACAGAATATTTTATTTATTTTTATTAAAATATGTTATATAATTTACTCATGACAATAAATAAAATCGCGTTTTATGTGTCGCTGATTAGACGAAGCTCCAAATTCCAATATTGCCCCTATACTATACTACTAGTAGGGCTCCAATTACTGGCACTTGTCAGCCAGCCTCCCTCGAGACTCTAACAAAAAAAAGACAGTAGTCAAAATCCGTTGCGTGACCCGTGGCGGGCCCACCGGTGCAAGTTAGCACTCGACGCACACGCAGGCGGCGCGTCGCATGAGCTCCGGCAAATCCGGGACTCGGGTCCACTTGTCGGCGGCGCAGTCGTAGAGCAACACCAGTCCGTCCCTGAACCCCCTCGCCGACCGCCCGCTCCGCCGCAGCAAATCGTCGATGCAACTGCCCAGCTGGACCATCAGCACCGCCTTCCCCACCCCTACGCAGCTGAATCGCACCCTGCCGTCCAGACTCACCTGCCGCGGCAGCGGCGGATTCTTAATCCGCCGCCACTCCCCAAATCTAGGGTTCCGCCGCGAGCCGGTGAATCTCCAGAACGACAGCTCCACCGCGTGGCTCGAGAGAACGTACACGTCGCCATCGGCGGCGCACGCAGCCATCACGCAGCCGCCGCCGGGAACCGTCCGGCTCCTCAGCCACACCCCGGCCGCGACGTCGTATAGATCCATCGAACTCGCGTACACGTGGGCCGCCTCCGCCGCCGGCCGGACGTCGTTTCCCGACGGCTGTCCGATCTTCAGTCCGCCGACGACGTAAAAAACCCCGTCCGCCGAAGCTCCGATGCATCCGTACCTTCTCCTCGGAGATTCGGAGACGACGCGCCACGAATTGGTTACCGGATCGTACTCCTCCACCGCCGACGAGTGGTCGGAACCACCGGCGACGAGTATCTTCCCCGCCACCGCAGCGGCGGCGAATTTCTTCCTCGGAATCGCCATGGCAGCCTTGGAGGCCAGCGTCCCTGTCCAGGTGTCGCAGCGCAGTATCCCCTCCGCAGCGACGATGTACACTTTCCGGCCGACGGAAACCAGTCTGAAATGCGAGAACATCAACAATGCCGGTACCGGACGGCGGGAATTATCCTTCCAAGGCACGAACGACGATACATTCCAGTCACATTCGAGGTCCAGCCGGAGCACGGCGGCGTATATCGCCGAATCGGTAACCGAAATGGAGAACAGAGCTTGAATTAGGACCTCATTCCGGCGGCGGAGTGTTAGGAACGCCGACGAATTGAGAAGATAAGCCCAACGGCGGCAAACGGAGGGGAGACGAGCCAATGTGGAGAAAGGCACTCTCACAAGGATTTCAAGAACGAGGTCGTCGGGAAGGGAAGAAATGGCAGTGGCGGGGGCGGGGGCGGCGGCGGTGGCGACGGCGGCGGCGGAGGAAATAGGGCCCGGCTGGTGGGGCTGTTGACGCTTGGGGAAACAAGATTTTAGCATCCATGAGAAATGCCGCGGCGACATTTCCCAAAATCAATGATGAGATCTGCTCATCCCATCCACTTATTCATATTAAAAAGAAAAAAAAAATATAAGGACTTGGTTAACACTTCCGATTCCACGTTATTAAAAAATAAGAAAAATATTCCACTAATATACTTTTATTTATTTGATAGGTACATTGACAATAGGTACATTTCCTTGTCAGCTAAGGGAAGGGATGCTAGGTTATTAAGTCAGTGGTCTGGCCTTACCCGCCGCAGGGAAAGAAATGTTAGATTATTAAAATTAAGATATTAATATCAAAGCATTTCAATCTTGATTCAATATTTTGTAAAGAATATTACGGTCTTGACTTAGGCTTTCCAATTGTATTTTTAATAGACTTGGGTTGACATCTTTTGAATATTCTGATGATTTATCATCATGACATTCTTAAATGAACAAATTTAGACTTGACACAACTTGGACAAACTTATGGTACATAAACTAATTTGATTGAAACATATATACTAACAGAGATTAAGAAGTAAAGACTTTTGAACACTCTAAAATATTACTTGTTAATTCGTACCTAGTTACTCAAACTTTACTAGAACGCTGCTGAATCTAGTTACTCAGACTTTACTAGAATATAGAACACTCTTAGACCTTCAATGCTTCTGGAATTCAGAAAGGAATAAGGACTCTCGTGCTCCCTCCCTCCTCTCCTTTGGAGAAATGAAGGCCCTTATATAGGAGGAGGCAGGGGTCTTTCGGCAAATAAAGAAGGACTGAAGTGCAAATGTCATGAGAGTTTTGTCCATACACGGAAGGTGGTGGTAGTCGGGGTGGCCATCATTCCTTTTCTGGTAAGTTGGACCTGTGATCTTTGTCGACCATACTTCATTTTCTGTCTGGTGGAAACCTGTCAGGGTATATTATGTATAATATTTGTGTATATAGATAGTAGAGTATTTCTACGTATGTATTTTTAATAGTAGGGATATATGTATAATATTTTTGGTATATATATGTATTTTTAATAGTATGGATGTATAATATAGATAGTAGTTTATTTGTACGTGTATATATATATATATGTATTTTTAATAGTAGGGATATGTATAATATAGATAGTAGTTTATTTGTACATAGTAGGGATATAACTCATTCATCATCATTTTTTTTAAAAGTCTTTTTCCCTTGGTATAGTAAAATTTTGTCACAATTAATCTTCGGATGGTCTCTTTCATATGATGTGGAATGTTGTCAGCATTAATTTTTTTTTTTTACTTTCTACTATTACCGAACCATGTGTCGTTGGACTGGCTTGTTGAATCGTCTGAGCCTAGTTGCTCTTGTATGATTCGAATGGCTTCCTCTGGTGGTTTTGCGGCTGCGATGAGAGAAGTAATATGAGACCGCTGTTCTTGGAATTTTATTTTCGGATTAGATGGTTTTGCTGCAATCTGCTTTGCACTTGTATCTTGGGCAATCCAATATTCGATTTGGTCTGGCTGTATGCTTTTTACAATCAAACATTTTTCCCACCATTTTACGTTAAACCTTCGTCGCAGCACCTTGTGTGTATCATTATGAATCTCGAGGGTCCAAGAAAAAATCCAAAGGGCATAAAATTTTGTACAGAAGTTTGCTAAGGGGGTGAAATATTTCTTTTCATGCTCTGTTGGGCAATATTTGTTGGAGAATATATCAAAAGACTGTTAGATGATGGGTGGAAGAATTTCAGGGATAGATCCAAGGTGATTCCACCAAGTAGACCACCAAATGGGGAGGAATTTATGTTAAATGTTCGGTCAAAGTAAATGAGCCATGTGTGGGTTATCGATTTGTTGGTGAGCCAGAAGGAATTAAACCAGACTTGTTGGTATTCAAAGTAGTTGTAGTGTTTTGGAGCAAAAGGTAGGTCAGAGACTCTTTGTGAGAATGGAATAGGTTCAATAAGTGGTAGACCATACCAGTCAGACGGAGAAATTACTCGAAAAATTTTGCATTGGGAGTAAAGGATTTCGGAGGGGTTTGTCTTTGAAGTTTCATGTTTAATAACTATAGAGGCCATGTCTTCGAGGATTGATTGGTAGTAGAGAATAGTTTTCCCATGGTCGAAAATTTTGTAGAAGTTATTTTCTCCAAAAAGTTCTTCGGCTGTCTCAAAAGGGTCAAGTGAATCAAACCCCTTTTCGATGGTAATAATATTCTGGTAAGTGGATTTAAGGGACCATTCAGTTCGCGGGGATTGGGTAAGCTGGATTGTGGAAGTAGATGAAGAGGATTTTGCAACATAGGTGTTTTCAGGGGGTTTTGTTAAAGTGGTAGCAACCGTAGGTTTTCTGAGGAGATGAGGTTTTTTCGGGTATTTGTGGGCTGAGGACTCAGGAATTTGTTGTAGAGGTTCTGGCTGAGGAATTTGGCTCGGCTAGGAGAGGGTTTTTGTCCGAGTCAGAAGTGTCATCACTGAAAGTAACAAAGTATTGAAAGTTACCGTTATAGGAATTGATTGCTCTTACTGTCGGGTCGCCATCTTCAAATCTCTGTTTTAGGGATTTTGGTGTTGATTTTACGGATGGCGGCTTGGAAGTTGCTGTATCTTCAAGATCGTCCTTGGATGGTATTTGGTGATCATCGTCAGTCTTGTCGATGTGGAGCTTGACTGGTTTCGGCGGCATCTGATCTGTTTTGTAAAAATTCTCGGGTTAAGAAATCAGGAATATAATTAGTGTCACCTTTTATGTATTCAATGTTAAAGTAAAAAATGTTTAGTATCCCTTGCCAGGGGGCAAAGATTTGTTTTGAGGCAAGATTTTGAACGTCTTTCCGTAGGATTTCTTTTGCACTTTTGCAATCTACTCGTAGCAGGAATTTTTTGTTGATCAAATCACTTTGAAATTTGGATATACAAAGAACAATGCTTAAGATTTCTTTTTTTATAGTAGAATAATTTTTTTGTGTATCATTCCAATGAGCAGAGGTAAATTGGATAATGACTTCCTTATTATATTGTAGTTGTTTTAGTATTCCTCCATAGCCAATATCAGAAGCATCTGTTTCAACTATTTTTGGCAGGTTTGGGTCAGCTAGATGGAGGCATGGTATTTCAGTAATTCTTTTTTTAATATCTTGTATTAGTGTTGTATGTATATCTGTCCAGGGTAGTGAATTTTTCTTAAATCTATCGTGAAGCAGTTTGATTTTTCTATTTATGTCTGGGTAGAAATCCAAGACATAGTTTAGGCTTCTAAGAAATCTTTGTAATTGGTTTTTGTCAAGAATTTTATCGGGAAATTTATTGGCAAATTGAAGGGATCTTTCAATTGGTGTAATAGTGCCTTGTGTTATATAGTGTCCTAAGAATCTTATTTTTGTTTGAAAAAGACTTATTTTAGATTCAGAAATGACTAAATCATTTTTCTTTGTTATTAATAGAAAGGTACGAAGGTGTTTAAAATATTCTTCTATAGTTTTTGAATATATTAAGACATCGTCAATGTAGACAATACAGAATTTATGGAAATAATTGAATATATCGTTCATAATTTTTTGAAATTCGGAAGGTGCATTTTTTAATCCAAAAGGCATTACGTTCCATTCATACTGGCCGAATGGAACAATAAATGCGGTTTTATATCTATCTTCTGGAAAAATTTGTATTTGCCAAAAACCCAATTTCATATCAAATTTTGAGAATATATAAGCATCATATAACTTTTGTAATAAATCTCTTTTATTAGGAATAGGATATCGAATCCATTTTAAAGCTTTGTTTAATGGTGTATAATTTATTACTAACCTTGGAGTTCCTTTTTCAATTTCAGAGGCCTTGTTGACATAGAAGGCGGCACAGCTCCATGGTGATCTGGATTTTGATATTTTTTTATTTTCTAAATCTTGTATTTCTTTTCTACAAAACTCTTATAATTCTTGGTTCATTTGAATAGGTCGAACTTTAGTTGGAATATTATCTTCACTAAAACTGGGTTCATAAGGAAGTATAATAACATGTTTCTTTCGTTCCCATAAAGCATTAGGAAGATTAGAGCATGTTTGTTGTTTTATTAATTCAAGCAGATGAGAAATTCTTTATTTGGTTTCTGGATTTTGTAGTTGAGCTTCAATTCTTTTATAATGAATATCATTTTTTAACTCGTTTAGGGTAAACATTTTTTATTGTACAATATTATGTATTGAAGCTGAATAGATTGAGCTGGCTTCTAGTAAGTTTATTTCAGTTGTTTGTGGTTTTCCTATAAAAGTAAAATATAATTTTTTATTGTTTATTGTAAATGAGATCGATTTTGGACCAACTGTATAAGGTGTAATCAAATTTAAAAAAGGGGTTCCTAAAATAACCATATGATGTATATCTTTTACTACGACAAATGAGGTTCTTAAATGAATTCCTTCATTTACTACAAAAGCTTCGATTCGAGAGGAGACATTTAGTATTGAATTATTTGCTGCTTTTATCTTTGCATGGGTTTTTTGGAGGAATTTAGTAGGGGCAAATCCTTCTTTTATACAATTTAGGTCGGCTCCAGTATCGAAAAGTGCTATAGTATCTAGAAAAAATCCCTTAGAGAATTCAATTTGTATTTTTATTATATATTTTCTGGAGGTGATTTCTTTTAGGACAAAGAGGAAATCTTGTGGTATGTTTTGAATGGATTGGATTTGGTCTTGTATCGTTTCATTAGATGTTTTAGCGGTATCATTATTGTTTATAATTTCGATAATTTTTGTATTGTTTGTGAGTCCTGGGATTGTTGTTCTTTTATTTTTTTGATTTCATATTTTAACTCTTTTACTTCCTTTTGAAGGGTATAGACTGTGGGATTTTTCAACATATTTTTTGTATTACCTAATATTTTGGTTAAGTCATACGTTTGAGGGTTAGAGTTATGTTGGTGAGTTGTTTTTTCTAGTTGTTGAAGTAATTTTTCGAAATGTCTTTTGGACATCTGAGTTATCTATTTGTTTAATAATATCAATTAAGTTTTGTTGTTCTTGTGTTATTGTATTGATAGATAAGTCTGTGCTAGAAGAATCTATTGAAGTTTCATCAT